GAGGGGACAAAGCTGCTGTCCCCAGGGGCCAGGAGGTGGATGGGGAACAGAAAGGGGGACAGTGGGGGGACAAGGAGTGGGGCAGGAGGAAGAAGAGGGGGACAAGAGGGGACAAAGGCACTGCCCCCGGGGGCCAGGAGGTGGGTGAGGGTTGGGGGATTACTGGAGGTGGGGGCAAGGGGGGGACAGGAGCAGGAAGAGGAGGGGGACAGGAAGGGAAGGAGGGGGAGAAGAGGTGACAGGAGGGGGACAAGGAGAGGAAGAGGCGGGAGGACAGGAGGTGGCAGGTGAGGGACAGCTGTGCCATGGCAGGGCTGGGGGTGTGTGTGCCTGTGCTCAGCCCCGTGTCCCTGTCCCCGTGTGCCCAGGGTGGCGTTCCTGCGCTGGGAATTCCCGCAGTTCAGCTCGCGGGGCCGGGAGCTGCTGGGCAGGGGGGCCCTGGCGCGGCGGCACCTGCGCAGGGCCGGCTTCCTGCTGGTGGAGGTGAGCTGGGAACGCTGGCAGCGGGAATGCTGGGCTGGGAATTCTGGGCTGGGCACCCCCCGGGCACCCCCAGACCCCCTGTGTGTCCCCACACTGCCGGGGCCACCGCTGACCTGTCCCCACGTGCCACATCCACATGGCACTTCAACCCCCCCCCCCGGCCCTTTCCAGGAGGAACATTCCAAAAACATTCCCCAAATACTCCCCAAACGCTGCCTGAACGTCCCCAGGTGCCCTCTGAGCCAATTCCCTCTTGGGAGCAGAGCCTGACCCCCACCCTGTGAGGTGCCCCCAGGACTCAGGTGTGGCCTCACCTGTGCCCAACCCAGGGCACAGTCCCTGCGGCCACACCATGGTGACGCCAGCCAGGTGCCATCGCCCACCTGGGCACACCTGGTTCCATAGGGATGGAGGCACAGGCACCTTTGGGGGGCTGCCAGCTCCTCCCTCCCCAGGGCTCAGCGGGGATGAGCCACTGTGATCCCCCTGGGCCACCTGCCAGGTGACAGGGAGGTGACACAGATGAGCTCTTAGAGCTGATCCCACGGGGTCAGCCAGGATTAAACCCCCTGGGTAATTATAGCCCTAGGGGGTGGTGGCAGCCACGTGTCACACCCCAGTGTCACTGTCAGCCCCTGGTATCACTGTCACACACCCCCCAGTGTCACCATCTCCCCTGGGTGGGTGGTGGGATCCTCCAGGTGGGTGTTGAGATCTTCCTGGGCGGGCACTGGGACCCCCCAGGTGGGCTCTGGGCCCCTGGGGATCAGGCCGTGCTGGGGACACAGCTGGGACCCCCGGGTGGGTGCTGTGGGACAGGCGGGCCCAGCACGGGGTGGGGACAGCCCTGGCCCCCCATGGGCTCCCGTCACCCCTTTCCCCCACAGGTGCCCCACTATGAGTTCCTGGAGCTGAAGCTGGAGCGGCAGCGCGTGTCCTACCTGAGGGACAAGGTGGCCAAGGCCGTGGCCAGCGACATGGCCACCGACACGGCCCCCGACACGGCCGCCTAGCCCTGCCCACGGCCACCTCACCCGCCCAGGGGGCCCTGGCACTGTGCCAGGGTGACCAGGTCACCGCGCCGAGGTCACCGGGTCACCGCGCCCAGGTGGCCGAGTCGCCGTGCCCAGGTGGCCACGTCACCACACTGAGTGGCCACGTCAGCGGGTCACTGTGCCCAGGTGGGGTCAGGTGGCCACAGCGAGGTCACAGTGTCCCCAAGTGGCTCCAGCATCGCTGCTCTGTGTCACAAACGGCTCAAATAAACCCCAAATGTACAGGGACAGTGGCTGGGGCACGGTGACATTGGGGACGAGTGACATTGGGGATGATTGGCATTGGGGATGGTTGGCATTGGGGATGGGTGACATAGAGGCCAGTTGGCGTCAGTGCCAGGTGCCAATGGAGCTGAGTGACATTGGGTGACATCAATGACAGGAGACATCAGTGCCAGTGGGTATCGGGGTGAAGTGACCTTGGGGCCAGGTGACATCACTTCTGGGTGACACCGGGGCCATGTGGCATCACTGCCAGGTGACACCGGTGTTGGTGGCACGTGGCACCGCCCGCTCCTGGGTGGGACCCGCCCCCCGTGTCCCCCCCCCGCGTTCCATCCCCCTCTCCCTGTGCCCGCCGGTCTGAGCCGGGATCGGGATCAGGAGCCACCTGGCCTTTATTCCCGATTATCCCGGGATTGTCCCCGAGGGGGGCAGGGATAGGGCCGGCACTTGACAGGGGACAGCGGCAGAGGGGAGGGGGCACCGAGGGGCACCGGGATTTGGGGGGGTTCTCTCCTGCGTGGGGCCCCCCCCCCGGTGTCCCCGTGTCCCTCAGGCCACATGTCCCCGCACGGGGGTGGGATGGGGGACGAGGTGGCTCGGGACAGCCGTGGGGGTGATGCCCCGGGGCCGGGAAGGGGTGGATTAGCGACCACCTGGCCCGGGACCCCTCCGGCCCCCGAGGGGGGCACGGCCCGGCTGGGGGGGAGGAGGGCACACGGTGATGGGGGGGCACAGCCCGGCCACCCCGGGGGGGGACACGCGGGGACAGGGGGGGCCCGGCGGGGCCGGAGCTGCTGAGTCACCGCTGGGGCTGTGCCCGTGCCTGGCACCGGCAGCGCGGGCACGGCCTCGGTGCCAGCGCGGGGGGGACGGTGCTGGGGGGGGGGGGGGGGGCCGGGGGGGGGTCCGGTGCCTCCTGGGCACCCCCCCCCCCCCCCCCCGCTGTCCGGGGGGGGGGTCATGTGTGTGTCCCCCCCCAGGGACCCCTCCTCATCCTCCTCCCCATCCTCAGGGAGCCGGGAGGAGGGGAAGAGCCGTTCCCATGGCAACGCGCGTCCTCCCCCCTCCCCTCCCCATCCTGCACCCCCGGCGGTGACAGAGGGGGGGACACTCAGGTCCGTGTGTCCCCCCCAGGTCCGTGTGTCCCCCCCTCCCCCGCGCTGTCACCACACACGCGCAGACGCTTTTAGGGGGGCTCCGCCCTGCGCGTCCCCTCCAACCCCCCTCCGGGACCGCGCGGGAGGCTCATCCCCCTTTTTTAAGGACAAAACTCCACTGCGCGGGGGGAACCGAGGCTGGGCCCCCCATCCGGTCCCCCCGGCCAGGAGCCCACGGACACGCGACGTCCCCCCCACCCTGGTGTCACCCCACACACGCAGATGCTTTTCGGGGGGTTCCCCCCCCGGCGTCCCCCCAGGACAAATCCCCCCCAGGACACCGGGGATGCTCAATCCCCTCTTCTAAGGGACAAAATCCCACTCCGGGAGGGGACACCGAGGCTGGGCCCCCCCTCCGACGCCCCCCCGTCTCCCCGCTCTGGTGCCGCCACACACGCGCAGACGCTTTCAGGGGGGCTCCGCCCTGCGTGTGTCCCCCCCCCCAGTCCCCGCAGGACCCCGCGGGAGGCTCATCCCCCTTTTTTAAGAGACAAAGTGGGGGAAACTGAGGCCGGGCCCCGCCCCC